TTAGTTTTGGAATACAATATCGTTTAAATGTCCTTTTCATGATTCGAGCAAATCCGTCGAATTTCATGTTCAATGTTATCATTGAACCAATATACGCCATAGAAGTGGCGTTCAGCTTTCCATGAATTAATATGAATGAATTGTGAAGCCAACTTCACTACTAATCGTTAAATGTCAAAAGCAAAAAACCGACGCTCTCACTAAACCGAATATGAAATATATATTTGGGACTTTCATGTATTCCGATTGGATAGACTTCAATTCTGAAGGTCTAATTTCGATCGACTTTGTTTCAATTTTTCGATAAATTTTGTTAATTCAGCAACAAAATTTTAAATTAGTTTTTTTATTTTGCCATTAAAATAATACAAATTTTTATTAAAACTTTAAAAAAATTTAAATTAAAAAAAATTTAATTTTATTATTTACGAAGCATCATTTAATTATAATGAAATTCTAAGGGCAGCGGGGGATTTGTGTTCTAATTTAAAGACTTTTGCTTAAAAAAACTGTTCATAAAAAAACTTTATTTTGAAATAAAGCAAAAATATTTACACAATTTTAAAGAAATTTCACATATTCACAAAATAACTAAATTAATTCTATTTGCAGCAAGAAACTATTAAAATGTTATTTTAACCTTAAAATTGTAATAAAAGTTATTTTCTTTGCAATTTATACAAACAATTTATATCTTTTCATTAATATTTGATTTCTAACACAATAACCATGATTATTTTGAAAATCTCGAATAATTTTTGATCAAAATATAAAATTTGTTCATAATTTGTTTAACAAATTAAAGCAATATTATAAACAATAGTTATTAACCATATTTGTAGGCAAAACAACAATAAATACAAAATATTGCTTTTTCACCAAAAATATTAATAATATGTATTTAACTAATCCAACACTAATATTTTCTGACATTCCAAATATACACACGAAGACACAACACTTTAACACACTCTCTGAGCGAAAGAAACAAAAAAAAAAAAGAAAAAACATTTAAACAAAAATAAAATGTTTTAATGACAGCAACCTAAGTCAAGCGTAAGTGACACCACCCAATTGGGTGTTATGGGCAAATGACAGCTATAGGAACAGCAAGAAACCAACCGAACAATTCAACACCCCATCCTCATTGCCAATAGAACCTTAATGAACTAAAACGAAAGCAAAAGTTGTCCACTGCTGCTTAAACAAGATGATGGTGATGATGAGGAAAAATTTCCAAAAATTTATGTTTTTGTTGTTATTAAGATTTTCACGCGACTATTTAAAGAACAACAGACAGAGTCCAACTGCAGCTAAAGCATCGTAAAATAGAGTAACAAAGCCCAAAATATATGTACAATAGAATGGCAGTAATAAAAAAGAAGTATGTGCGTATGAGCAACTAAATGTGGAAGAAACGGAAAAAAAGCACGAAAAAACACTTCCTTCCAAAAGAAGAGTTGGCGGCATAAAATGAGCATGTTAAAATAGTGGTAGTTGTTGTTTTTCATATTATGAATATTTTAATTTAAACAGAAAGAGTAACAGCAGAGGGAAGAGTGCTAGTAGTAGTGGCAGACAATTTTGAAAATTCTATCAAAAATTTAAACAAAACTTTGGCGGACCATATTTTATAAAAAAAATCAAAAATTTCGCTAAATTCTACTGTTACCATAAAATTCGTTAAATAAATGGACAAACTACTGGGTCCGTATGAAGCTAGACAGACAGATAGTTGACTATAGATGGCTAGATAATGCTAGAGAGAGGGTGTTATATTGTAGGTTTGTGGTTTTCACATTTCAACAACAATGAAAATTTTGTTCTCTTTCTAGCACTCAAAGGTAAACAGTAATTAAAAATGTCACTACTATCATGTATAACAACATCGATATATACTAACGCACATTAGCAAAAACAACAACAACTGCTACTCATAGCACTCTAACAATTGTTTAAATGTAATAAATAGGCGTAACATTGGAATAGCCAGTCTTTGGCTCTCTCCCTCATAGAAGTACAAGTATGTAGTCGCTCTTAAAATACACAATCTTTAACTATGGTTGATAAAACAATATTTCCGCATTACTCTACACTCGAGTACCTCCGATACTCATACTTGTAGGTACATATTCGTTTCTATTACAAATAAAACCCAAGACCAACTCTTGTAATGTCATACTTGCTCTTGCTTTATTTTTGCACAAAAAACCATGTTTAAGCTCTCTTTAACTCTCACTACACTTTCCAGTCCCCAAAAGACGGTAAATAAAAATCCAATATGAATTTTCTTCCATGTATTACCATCTTTGTTTAACTAATGTCTAATACTGCCTAGGCTATCTCTTTTGCTCTTATTTCTCAATTTAAGTAAATATTTCTGACTTTGTCTGACTCTTGCTATGAAATACAGTTATCGTAGTCTAATGCCCTCCCTTTCTAACATTCTCTTTTTGCCATTGTTCACTGGAATGTTTTGCTGCTTCTTGTTCTTCCTCTTTACTGTCTGTCTATCCACTACGTTGTATTTGCCGTTGTTGTTTGTTCGTGTGTGTGTGTGTATTTTTGTGCTCCGTGTAAGCGCGTTAAACATCGCAATGCGTGTAGAGAATTGTTGTATGTTGGTGTGTGAGTGTGTGTCTGTTTCTGTTTCCTATTGTAAATGTGTGTTGCGTTGTTGTTTCTATGGGCCCAGTCGTTGTGTCGGTGTGTGTTTTGTGTGTAGAGTTGTAGCAGTTTCTTGCCTTGTGCTTGCTCTCTGTACCTTCGTTTGACGATGCATGACGTTAGTTCACTTCGATAGCTCTACGAGTTTACACGTGAATTTATTAAAGACTCCGCAGAAAAACAACTCACACAAAAGATTAAACCAAAAAGAAAAAAGTTGAAATATTCTTTCAAGTTAAAAAATAAATAATAAGAAAGAAATTCAAATAAATTAGAAAAAAACACACACACATATACAAATTGAATCAAAATTCAAAGTTGTTTCGTAAAAACAAAAAAGTTAATTTAAACAAACATTTCCAAACTAGATCTTGAGCATAAAACTCCTACGATTTCTTATTCAAATCGAAAAATCGGGTTTTCCAAAAAATACCGCGAGTGCTGCTTAATTTAAAACCAAATAAACAAGAAAATAATTGTTTAAATTAAACGGTTAAAAAGTTACAAATTGTTTAACATACTAAAATAAATAAAATCAATAAATTGTTAAAACAATTAAAGCAAAAAATAAAAAAAACAAAATTTGTGTTTAATTCAAATAAATGCACAGAAGTTTAAATAAAAGAAAAAAGTGCAAAATAATTTTTGTTACAACATCATGTTCAGTGTTTAAAAAACTAACAAGCAAATTAAAATAAAAACGCTTCAACACCTGCCACCCAGAAAAATCGCTGCCTAATAAATAAATTTGAAAAAATTCTGAAAAGCCGACGGTTTTTTCCAGTCCCTGAAAGCACTTACAACTTGTTGCTTTTGGCGAATAATTTCTTTTTAATCACGTCCCCTAAATATTGTTGAGCTCTGCTTTTTTTCGAAAAAGCCGCTCAACCTTTTGCTGGATATAATTCTCGTTTGTTTTCGTTACGACGCAAGACTTCAAGACGGTTGCCTCACGGTTTGAGTGGAATGAGCATAGGGACCCTGGTCTTTCTTTCGATAGATCGGTTTTCAAAGTCGTTAAACTGAGCCCCAACTTGGAGCCCTACCCCGCCAGCGTGGAGGGCCTGAACAGCCCTAGAGCGGTGGGGATGGCCGCCACCTCATACATGACACCGTCCAGCGGTGATCTCGATATGGCTTTAGGAGGCGGTTACCACACATCATCGCCCCGATCGGCCACCGATGCCGGCGAAATGAAATACATGCAACACCACCATCACCATCATGCCGCCGCAGCAGCAGCAGCCGCTCACCACCAGCTACCATCTTCGCCCAGTCCCAGCACTATTGGTACAGGCGGAGGAGGTGGTGGTGGTTCTGGCTCCGGCGTCTCGGCCAGCCTTAGTTCCGTCACACCCACTGGTGGCTTAAGCTCAAATCCCTGGACTTCATTACCTCCCACAGACCCTTGGGCCCTGCAGTCCCATCATTCTCATCATCATCCCGCCGATGCCGTTAAACAGGAAATGTCACATCTTTCACAACAACACAGAGTACAACAGGGCATGGCTTCGCCTCATGCCTGGCATGCTCCCGTTCATGCAGCTGCTCACTACGCTCCCACTGGTGGCTCACCGCTGCAATACCATCACGCCATGAACGGTATGCTACATCCCGCACATCCAGCCCATCACCAAAGTGTGGCTCCCCTACATCATGCCTTAAGAGGTGAATCGCCTTCTCTACCCATACATCCCCACCACATGCACGGTGATCGTGATGTCAGTGGCGGCGAAGAAGATACACCCACCTCCGACGACTTGGAGGCATTTGCAAAACAATTCAAGCAACGCAGAATAAAATTGGGATTCACACAAGCTGATGTTGGTCTGGCGCTAGGCACCCTCTATGGCAATGTTTTCTCCCAAACCACCATCTGCCGTTTCGAGGCTTTACAACTGAGCTTTAAGAACATGTGCAAACTGAAACCCTTGCTACAAAAATGGTTGGAGGAAGCTGATTCTACTACCGGCTCTCCCACCAGCATCGACAAGATCGCAGCTCAAGGTAGAAAACGCAAGAAGCGCACCAGCATAGAGGTCAGTGTTAAGGGAGCCCTTGAACAACATTTCCACAAACAGCCAAAGCCTTCTGCCCAAGAAATCTCCTCATTGGCCGACAGTTTACAGTTGGAAAAGGAAGTAGTGCGAGTGTGGTTTTGCAATCGCAGACAGAAGGAGAAACGCATGACGCCGCCCAATACCATGGGTGGTGATATGATGGACGGTATGCCTCCAGGTCATATGCATGGCCATGGCGGTTACCATCCTCACCACGACATGCATGGCAGTCCCATGGGTACACACAGTCACAGCCACAGTCCGCCTATGCTAAGTCCACAGAATATGCAGTCGGCCGCGGGTCATCAATTGACGGCTCACTAGCAATCAGAAATCCAGGAGTCGAACTCAGCTGCAGCTGCGTCCACTCCTGCCTCCCTACATCAGCAACAACAACAGCAGCAACACCAACATAACCAACACCAACAGCAACAACAACAGCAGCACGGCCCCAATACACCCTCGTCGTCGGCTGGGTCCTCTGCCACCATGACCACGAACGTTATGTCACCTCAAAGTCCGCTGGGATCAACAAACGCTAACAATAATAATAACAACAACAATAATAACAATAACAATGATAACGAGCATTTATCACAAGTTAAGCAACAACAGCAGCAACAAGCCTCCTCCATAGCAGCCGCTGCAGCAGCTGCCATGTACATAGATCCCATGCGTTACCACAATGCCGCCGCAGCTCACCATCATCACCACCAGCATCCTCACTTAAATCCCGCCCATCATCCGCATCTGTTCCATACCAGCGATCAGGCCTTGCAACACTCCTCCACTCAGCACCATCACCTGCAACAGCCCCAAGCTTCGCCGGGTGGCAATAGTACGAGTGGTGTTCTGCAGGCTTCCTCATCAGCGGCCTCACCTTCGTCTGTGTCCTCGGCACTAGGCGTGAGCGGAGCTAGCAGTATGCATCATTTGAATTTGAATCCCCATTCGTTGCATCAGCACCATCACCAGCAGCAGCATCATCATCACCACCAACAGCAGCAACAGCAGTTACATGCCCGTCGTCTCTTCGAGTGGAGTTTGCAGTTCGGTGCTGCCGCTGCTCCGGGAGCAGTAAGACATTTTAATACGTTTGGCGGTTCGGGTGAATAGCATTCGTCAGCTGCTGCAGCCGCAGCAGCCTCAGCCGCATGGTTTGGTTATGAATCGTCTTAAGAAAAGGGACTTTCACAGGAATAGAACAAAAATAGAATGAATAAGGAAGATAAAGAAGTCTTTTTGAAAATTAGGCCGTGTTCCAAGAAAAAAAAAAGGTTGTCATAAACTTTGAAACTTTTTGTTAAAAAGCGGAAATATTTTTTGACCCAAAGTAGGGAAAAATTGTTGTAGTGACATTTTTGTCTTTTATGCCTTGAATGTAAATTTTCCATTGCTAAATACAGAAATGTGTTTAGGAAATTTTCGAAATATTCAGGGAAGAAAGGTTTTCATTACTTTAGATTTTAGCATTCCACTTTTTTTCTATTTGAAAGAAGACGTCAGTCAGAGCTGCTATTAGCAGGATCAAGGGACTAAGTACGAGCAAGACAGAAGCGAGCTAAACCAGTGCATTAGTCTGTGTTAAAAATATAAATTTCTTTATTAAAAGAAAACAATGGAAAGTGAATTTTATGGAATTCTTAAAGAAACTCAATTTTTTATAAATAAAACAAAAAAAGTTTTTAAAAAACTTTTATAAATTTAATAAAGAAAAAAAGGCAATTCAAATCAAACGAGTTACAAAGTGATGTTTTATAAACAATTATAAATTAAATACTTTTTTTAAATATAATTTTATTTTAATTTTTATGTTTTTTTTTGGTTAAATTAAATTTTAAGCACAAAAACGAAAAAAAAAAAGAAAAAAATTAAATAAAATTTACAAAAAGTTAAAATATTTAAGAAAAAATAGAAAAAAGTGATAATGTTGGGGAAAAAAGCGTTAAAAAATTAAGAGATAACTTCACAACCTGCCGGCAACAAAAGCTCAAGGTAAATTTTTGTTAAAGATATTTTTCTTTAATTTTTTTGAAGCTAAACTAAACACTTTTTAACACTTTTTTCCTTTAAACAACAAACACATTTTCTTTCGAAATTTTTAACAAAATATAATTTTATTTAATTTTTTTCTTTTTTCAAGAAATCTTAATGTAAATCTTTAAAACCACTCGAAACAAAACCAATCCTCTCCACTCCACTCCCCTTGTGTAAATAGTTAAGTCATTAGTCAGTAGGAATTTTTATCTTAATAATTTTTAAATATACTACAACAAAAAATAAAAAAAATAATATTTAAACACTTAAAAAAAATAAATAAAACAATGAATGAAGAATGATTGAATGAATGAAAAGACAACCAGAGAAATCACTAAGAATTCTTTAGTTATTTTAGTCAAAAAATAAAAGTTGTAGGTTTAAAACAAACGTCATGAAAAGAAAAAAACAAATAATTAATAAATAAATATTATTAAAACAAAATAATAGTTATTTAAACAATGAAAAAAACCACAACAACAAGATTTATACGCCTCTTAAACAAGAAAAAAATCCACAAACAAAAAAAAACTTAGTTAAAATTTAACAAAATTTTTCTTTAGTCTGTAAGTTGTGTAAAAAAATTTATAAAAAAAAAAATTCAAATAAAAATAAAGTTAAACTTAATTTAATTTTGTATAAAAGAAAATCCCTAATTTGTTTTAATTTCTAATTCTTATTTTTTTTACATTATTTCATGCAAAAGAATAAAAATAAAATAAATAATTCCTTTTTGTAATTTCTGTGAGTGTAATATTTTTTTTTTTAAATTTATATAAGTATTTTTTTTTATTTCTACACACTGTATAAACATTTATAAATTTATATTTCTGCGTTTAGTTTTATTTTATAAATATTTCTTAAAACAAAAAAACAAATTCCTAAACAAAATTTTATCTATAATTGTGAAAATTTTTAAGTGTTGAACATTTGTAAGAAATTTAAACAAAAATAAAAAAAAAAACAAAAAATTATGTAATAAATATTATTATTAATTAATGGTAAAATTATAATGGCTAAACAAACAATTATTATTATAAAACAACAACAAATAAATGATTGCAAAAACAAAACATTCCTTCAATAAAATTGTAAAATATTTAAACCAACACAATGAAGTAAAAATTAAAAAAAAATCTTTAAAAATAATTAAATGGAATAAATGATAAATAAGAAACAAAAAAAAAAGTCATCGGTTCTTACCACCACCATTCTATACAAAAAAATATAAAAAATACAAAAAAAAAAACAAAATAAATATTATTAAAAAAATTTTAATCAAACATCTTTTTATTTTGCCGTCGGTAAATAATAGCTTTTTTAAGTTAGGAATTTGGGGAAACATTTGGTCGGTAATTTTTGACATGCCACTGATTTTATCAAAATTTAGTAGGGTTACACCGATTTAGTTTATATTTCTGGGTCCATACTATTGGCAATGATTAAAGTAGCATCTTAACCTTAAACAAGGATTTTCTAGTATTTTAAATCAAAAGTTTTTATTGGTTTAACAAGTTTAGGTCTCTCATTATACACTGAAAATAATCTATGCTTCGTCGTATGCCAATCGGCTCAGAATTACTTCCTAAGTCGATTTAGCTGTGTCCGTCTCTCTGTGTGTCCATGTAAAGCTTGTGCGTATGCTACAGTTCGCAATTTTCCAGATACATAATTTGATGTAATTTGGCATATACTCTTCTTTTAATCCAAGGACAAGCGCTATTAAAAATGGCTGAAATCGGTCCATTACAACCATACCCCCTGAATAGGGCTTTTGAGCCCATAATTATGTTAAATATTTTATAGAAGTTTAAATGACATTGCCTATTTTTGTAAAAATCTGGCCTCATTTGACCCTAGCCCCCATACAAACTCCCCTTCAGAAAATGACTTGAAGTTCAAAATTCACTTATATATACTAATAACACGATGAAATTCTACATAAATAACTTTTATGTAGACGTAGATTCCTCTACCGGCATTTATAAGGATAGGCCCATATTTAGCCTCACCCTCATATGAGCCCTTTTGTAGAAAATCTATTGTTTTGTCAACAATAAGTAAAAATATTTAATTTAGGTAAAATTAAATTAATGCTTTATTATTTAAAAAATAATCCAAATTTTTTACATACTTACTGGTATAGGGTATCATATGGTAGGCCATGCCCAATTATACATTCATACTGGTTCTTAAATTTGTGATTTTATTTAATTTCGCTTAAATTTACTAAAAATATATTAAAAACTATTTTAGAAATTAGAAAATTGTTTGATTAAACAATATTTCATATTATAGATGAAACTTTCATAAATATTATGAAAAAATTAGTTACTTTTTTCGTAAAGTTATGCTAGGATTATTTTCAGTGTATGCTTATATATGCTATCGCACTAAACCAAATGATGTTGGCTTAACAGACAGACTGATGGAAAAGTTGTTCTTTACTTTTCTATTAAACGATTTTTTTTCAAGCCAATCGCAAAAAGACCGACGGACAAAGTTGGATCGTTACTCAACTTTTTTATAAAATCATAATTATTCTAAGCAGAAACAAACTTACTTTTGTAAAATTAGAAAATTATTGGATTAATAACAATATATTCGTATTATATACGAAACTTTCATAAATATTATGAAAATAGTAGTTACTTTTTTCGTAAAGTTATGCTAGGATTATTTTTAGTGTATGTTCCTATATGCTATCGCTCTAAACCAAATGATGTTGGCTAAAGAGACAGACTAACACAAAGTTGTTCTTTACTTTTCTAATAAACGATTTTGGCAAAAAAAATCGACAAAGTTGGGTCGTAACTACTGGATCATAACTGAACTTTTTATGGAAAAGTTTTTTTTTGACAATAATCATGAATGTCTAGGAATATTGCGCTTATCTCTGTTTTTTTTTTTTTTTTTTGATTTTTTGATTGATCTCAACAGACATAGAGACTTACTTTAATCGGCTCCGCTATCAGAATATTTATATAATATGATCGTAAAAGTTTATTGTAGAAATTACAAAAGGAATTTCATATATAGATGGTTAAGGGTATAAATATAATGGTTAAGTATTCATAATCTAAACCGGACATTATTGTCCACAAAAAATTTACTATTTAGTCTCATAACTCTTATCATCCCACAGATATCGTTAAAGAGCACAGCGTACAACTCCCTTTCATACAGCTGCACACTGAGCCCCCGCTGTAGGTTCACACATGCATTACCCATGAATGATTTCATTCACCACTAAAGTGTGGTTCTCCTTCAATTATTAATCGCCTTCACTCCGACTATTAAAAAATTAAGTCGAGTTTGTATAGAGTGTTAAAAGATTTTTGCTCCGGAATGGCTCGAGTCATATTCGGTAACGATTGTCAACTAAGCGAAAATTTTATAAATTTTTAACAACGGCGTAACTGTAAGCGCAATATTAGTTTTTATATACATTACAGTAATAAAACTTTTCATTAAATGAATCCAAAGTTTCATTCCAGTAACGAAAATTTTCTTTAAAAACTCCTGAATTCATTCATAAGCTTGATTTGAACTTGATTTGTTTATATGAATTAATTATTGTATAAATTCGTATCCTAATTAGGAAATTAAGATACAAATTTGATATCTATAAAATTGTAACAGTACACAGAGGGAAAAGGAAATATACACGCCTGGTACTAAATTGACACCAAAGAGTTTATAATTTTTCAATAACATTCGTTTTCAAAGTATATACATACGTACGACAACACTACGTAATGTTGACAACGCAACGTTGTCAAAATTGCAACAATTCGTTGTCGAATTCTAAATGTTATACACTATGTTGACAACATTGCTGTTGTCAACATTGACAACATATATAGTATTGTTGTACGCATGCATATACTTTGACAACAAATGGTATTGAAAAATGATAAAGAGTTTGGTGTCAATTTGGTACCAGGAGTGTATATTTCTTTTTCCCTCTGTGTTATTTTATTTATTAGTTTATTTATACATACCAGCAATGAAACATTTTCATTAAATGAATGTAAAGTTTCATTCCAGTAATGAAACATTTGTTTTAAAACTTCCGTATTCATTCATAAGCCAATCGCACTTGATTTGAAAGTTCAAATGAATTATTTTTCTAAATCGGACTTCCTTCCATGCTTTTCTTGCAATATTTAGAAAACTTATAAAAATCTTTAACAATTTTTATTATGTTTATTTAATTATTAATTTTAAACTTTAAGAAAGTATGATTTTTTAATTTGATTTAATAACTTTTGTTTGTAAATCTCCCCAAAAAACTTTATATTGTCAAAATTTCAATATAAATAATTAAAACAAAAAAAAAACTACACTTCCACGTTCGTTGAATGTCTTAAATATTTTCGAAAAAAAAACAAACAAAAAACATGATTTTGAACTTGTGTTGAAAATATGACATTTATTAGCCATAAAATCCAGTGAAATCCTTAAACGAAATCCTAATGTAATGTTGCATCATCTTTAAAATAAAAATCTTTCAAAAAAACAAACATTCCACAAAAATTAAACTCTAATTTAATCTGTGTACTTTTCAATTAAAAAAAATATACAATTTCTTAAAGAATTAAAAATAAAGAAATGTTAATAATACTTCAAATAAATTATTGTATTTATTAAAAATTATTTAATTGAACCAGTTTTAATGTTGTGGTGACAAACAACTAAGAAAAAAAAATTGCAAAATTAACAATAACGTAAAACAAGAAAACAAATTATTATTTTTTCTTACGTTTTTTTTAAGTAAACAAATTTTTTTAATAAAAAAAAGTTCATAAAATTTGAAAAAAATACTTAACAAAAACAACATAAAGGAAACACGCATGTTACAATTTAATTAATTGTACAAAAACAATGTTAATTATAATAAATCAAGTTATTTGTTTTTAATTTTTTTCTTATTAAAAAAGTACTTGTGTTTATAAACATAATATTTAAAAATAATTTAATTATACACATTTTGAAGTTAAAAATAACCTTAGTTTTGAAAAATATTTAACTGATGAAATTTCCAAAATTTTTGCAACACATGTTGAACATTTTTAGGTTTCATTGGCATTTTGCTGGAGTGTAACAACCCTTTTTTTGGTTGTCAAAAACCAAAATGTGTGTTTAGAATGGTCGGTCGGCCAGTTTGACTTGATTGATTGAAAGTCAAGGGACATTAGAGGAAAAACTGGATAGAAACTGGAAATCTAACTTTATGATGTTTTACACCATTTCCCAGGGATAATAATAATTGATTTTGAAGTCTTAAGTTAGGATAATGTTTGGTTTACTTCACGTTCATAACGTGATTAACGATCTAAGTTTGGAAATATCATTTGTTTGAAAAACTATGAGTCG